TGTGATGCTCCAGGTACGGCCCTCCCCCCTTACCTTCCGTTCCCTGCGGCGCTGCATGTCAAGGCCGGGACGGAATACCCCGGGCCGCCGCAGCCAAGCGCGAGGGGGAACGCCAGACGCCTCGCGCGAAGGGGGGAGGCCTGGCGACGCTGCGCCCTGATGGGCGCTCACCGACAGGGCTAGGGAGGCCGAGACGGCCAGGGAGGAACAGCCAAAATGCCCCCTCGGCTTATAAGCAGGTCACCAATTTTTCCCAGTTCTTTGTGGGAAAATCGGTCCCTCGGCTTATATTCGGGTCGACCTATACTCAAGTATATACGGTACATATTGCTTTGAAATTCGTCAGCAGAATTTGAAATTGCCTGCAGACTTAGTTTCAGATGCAAAACATTTTCAAATTGTGTAATTCAAATATTAAGCAGCTCCCTAAGATATCTTCCTCTTGAAAGTTTCAGGAAAAGAAGTCCTTCCCAATAATTCCTGGAGATGCCAAGAATTGAATCCAGATTTTTCTTCATAAAAGCAAACACTCTATTTTAATTGTTTTTTTAATGTCAGTGGGTCTCTTAAAGGCATTATGTGGATCTCAGTCTGAAAGAAATCCTTGCTACCTCTCCAGCCTTCCCCCAAGACCACTCATTCCAATCTTATTCCCACTTAATAACTTTGATAGCAGAGTTCTGAAATGAAAGCTGATTAAGCCATTGTAACTGATTCAACTTCCTCAGATAATTAAAACTTTCTTCTCAAGTAGCCTTTAAATACCTTACTGATCAGGCCCTTCTAGTTTTTCAATGGCTCCAGCATTTACCTACACCGACTTCTCACTCAGCATCTCTCCATCATCAATTTTTGTGTTTTGTTTCAGTCCTTTTCTTACCTTTGAATTGTTTCATGGTAGTTCCTAGAAAGGCATTGAAGTCAAATAAATCCCAGACTCCCAATTTCATCCAGGGAGGAAGCGTTACTGGATTCATAAGTGTATTCTTGCACCTAAGAAGAAATAAACCAATGGGTCATCTTTGGAGGAATGGAAAAATCTGAGACAAGATCTATTTTTATAGTGTTGAACATCCTCAGATCCAAAACTTCCCAGTAGACCGACATGAAAAAGGAACATTGTTCTCTGCTCCATGGTAGATGAAAGGAGGGAAGTGAATAGGTTGCAATTGAAAGTATAGGTGATCAAAAATATATTTTAAAAGAGCCAGCCCCCAAACTATGATTCCCAGAGTCTTTCCTGAAGTATGGGGACTACAATTATCAATTGTTTGATGAGAATGTTAGGGCCTTTTAAAACCACCCAACCTTAAATATGAGCTAAAAAAGGGTATTTAAGGGGTAAATACTCTACAAGGCTCAAGGCATCCATATTAACTCTTCAACTATCCTTCTTCCAAGGATCAGGCTTCAATCACTCCAGTAAAGTCATATCAACCAGGTAAGATATGAAGACAAAATGTGATCCCAGACTCAAAAGATATGCCCATCCCCACCCCAAATTCTGATCCATGATCCCACATTTGGGTGAATAGTTCCAGCTGACTACTCTTTTTCCTTTGAGAAATCACATGAGACTTGGTAGTCTACGTAATGGGCCTATTTTGTTTATGGAATTTGCATTCCACCATTCTGCCAAAGAATGGTGATCTAAAATGAAGCAGATAAGAGAAACCAAGAGAAAATCTAGTAATCCTAGGCAAAAACAAAAAAGCAGGAAAACTAGAAGGAAGAAAACTAGTATGAAGAATACTCAGGAAGTCCAAAGTCCCTCAAGATTTTATTTTTAACCAGAACCACATGCAAAGTGAACCCCAATGCATATATTTTAGCTATCTACAGTATAATGATAATTCTTGTTGACTTCTCTTAAGATCATCACTGAAGATTGGTAACTTAACTCTATTAAAGTAACTGGGCTTGAATAATGCAATACAATTTGTATTAGATTATCTAAAAAAATTATGATGCAAATATTTTACAGTGATAATCAAATACACTTGTTTTTATTTTTGACATGTCAAAACAAAAAAATCATGGAATCCATGATTTCACAATTTCTTTTTTAAAGGTCTCAATTGGAGCATCAACAATTGGAGCATCAACAAAAAAAATGGTTTCTATTATTCCACTAATTTGCACTAATAACACACATAAAAAAAATACTGTCCTCTGTGCCTAGCCATTCTCCTTGCATCCACAATTCCAATTTAGGGGCAAGTCAGCTTACCTCTTAAGAGTGCTTTCCACATCCTAGAAGAGAGAAAGAAAGTGGAAAGGAATTAGGTGATTGTTCATACTAAAAATTCCTCTCAAATCCCAGACTGGAATAATATCTAGAAATGTTACCATTGTATTGTTTTATATCAACTTTCCCCAGCCTTTGTCCTCTCCAGATATATGGAATTTCATATCCTAGAATTCTCAACATCAGCAATGCTGCTTAGGGGATTCTGAGAATTCACACATCTTGAAGCAGTTGACTCAAAGGAGACAGTTGAGTATGCAAAACAGGCATTTATCAGCAATTTACAGATCCTCCCATTTATACAGATTCTGCTTGGAGGGACGTGATGATGTCAACTTCTCCAGTCACATATAATTGCATAAAGAATGATAGCTCAACTCTAGCATGACTCTGCTTTTCTCATTTTACTCTACTCTTTTCTTGTCCAATTGAGAAAATCAAAGTTAGTGTCATGGTTCCGACAGATGAATCTCTTCAAAAGAAGTTCGAGGCATTGTTTTCCCTTTTATTTGAGAAATAAAGTATCGGCGCTACATAGTTGAAACCAAAAACTGAATTCCCCTCCCCTGGCACAAAGTAGCAAAGCGCAATTCCCTCCTCCAATTAACTGTCATAAATCACATTCCCCAATTAACTTGAAGCACAGGCTTTCTCCCCATCTCTCCTGCCCGCCAAATTTCTATCAACTCTGGACCTAATAACCTTGGGTTCCCACGGCTGAGTTATTATTGTTATGACTAGCTGGATTCTCATCCATATTCCCCCTCCCAGCATCTAAAAGCGATAGAGAAAAGATGGCTACATTTCCATCTGTTGTCAAAGCAAGAACATCCAATGTTAACAGCATTGACAGTTAGACTGTATCCTAATCTATACACTGGACAGATGACATATTGGGGCACTCAATGCACACCCTGTCCAAGCCAAGATAGTCCCGTCCTAGATGCAGAAGTCTTCTATAACTTCTCCAAGAAATATTGTCTTAGCCACTTCCATGGACCTTTTCTCATGGAAAAAGTTGAATGGCCCTCCATTCATTCTTCAGCAGAAAGATATACCCATGAAATTGTCTGCCCTCTTTGCTGATGACTATTCTCCTTCTATTCTGGGTTATCTGTTTCTCCCTTTATAGAATATTAGTGAAAAATCTTGGCAGATTCTATACACCTTGAGGCTGCTCTTGGATGGTGTCAGAATAAGGGGGAACATGCTATTTTAACAGCTAAGGAAGCCCTGCATCTGTCTCTCCAATGGTTGAGAATGAGATGAGGGCAGCATCATGAGGACAAAGCATAAAAATAGGAGCTATTAGAGCATGATTGTGCCACAGTTAAGTCCAAGTGGGGGGAAAGCCTCAATAGCTTTTTGTAACCGAATGTCCTTCATACGTCCTGGATTGCACTAAGGTTGATTAGGGTTTAAGGGATGTACCCCAAGGACACACTCCCACAGTCCATCAGTATTTCTCGGACCATAGGTTGGAATCATGGATTTAAAGCCTGCTATATGCCTTGCTCTTAATATCAAGGAAAGCCATCAAGAGACAGCATAGAAAAAAACAGCATTAGCAGGATAACTGCAGTAACTACAGGTTTCAGAGCAAAGGAACTCAAGAGAAAACAAACCCAGATTGTTTTGTGATGAAAACAAAACAAAAATGTCTTAGCGAATTGCAAATGAATAGCGGAAGGCTATTGCAGAATCAGGAAGGCCTTCAAGGAGAATTACAGCAGTCAGGCAGATCTATTTTAGGGGAAGCTGTTCTCTCAGATGTCTTTACCCCAAGTTTGGAATATCTTACCTGCAGAAGCTCAACTGCTGATTGTTGGCACTTCTCCTTGAGTCCCTGGATAAGATCATCAAAAGTTGAGACTTCCCGGAAGAAGATGGCTGCATGTTTAGTCTTTTTCCAGAACATTCCCTTCTCTAAGGTTTCCATAACTTTAAGCAGCAGAAAGTTCTCTTGTTCTTCCAAAAATTGGCGTATTGAATTAAATTCAGTTATAACCAATTGTCTCTCTTGTTCTATTTGTTCCTGCAAGCAACAAATGGAAAGAGGAAAAGATGCTTGCTTAAGAAAAGGCATTCAGTGTCAGACAAAGACACCACTTAGGTGCCACAATGATATCAAGGATATCATCATGTAAACTGTGCAAAGTACATACTTTGTGACATTTGTCTCACAAATGTCTTGATGGGCATGTTGCCACTGTGAGAATAACTAACTTCTCATAAGATAAAGCATCAGTTAAACAAGAGATGCAAATTCACAAAATATACACCTCTCCTTTGAAGTGAGAGTGTAAGAAAGCAGATCAAAGTGCCAATAGATTTCTCATTTGAAAACAGCATAGGTCAGTGGTGACGAACCTATGGCACACGTGCCAGAGGCGGCACTCAGGGCCCTCTCTGTGGGCACACGTGCCATGCCCCGGAGATGGCAACCATCCCTCTTTAACCAGCCGCCTGCTAACTCGCCAAGGTCCACATGGCTGGATGCATCCCAACACCCATGCGCTCACTGGCCTCTGTGTGCAGGGGCCGATGGTGTCAGGCAGCAGCCGCCCCGGCCCCTGCCTTGCCCTGCGATAATGGCTCCCCCGCCCTGCCTCGCCTTGCCTCACCCCTCAGGACGAGCCTACTGCCCACTGCCCCACCTGCCAGAGAGCCCCTGGATTTCCCCCAACTCTGCCCAGCCCCCACGGGTGTCCCTCCCCACGAGCAACATCGAGGTGATCACGCCCACCTTGGCCACACCCGCCCAGTCTGCCATGAGCACCACAGCCAGGCCCACCCAGTGGGCCATGCCCACCTGGCACCGGGTGATAAATAAGTGGGTTTTGGGTTGTAGTTTGGGCACTCGGTCTCTAAAAGGTTCGCCATCACTGGTATAGGTAGTCCTTGACTTACAACAGTTCATTTAGTGACTGTTCAAAGTTACAACGGCACTTTAGAAAGTGACTTATGACTGTTTTTCATTCTTACAACCGTTACAGCATTCCCATGGTCATGTGATCAAAATTCAGATGCTTGGCAACTGATTCATATTTATGACAGTTACAATGTCCCGAGGTTATGTGATCACTTTTTGTGGCCTTCTGACAAACAAAGTCAATAGGTAAGCCAGATTTCACTTAACAACCACGTTGCTAATTCAACAACTGCAGTCATTCACTTAACAGCTGTGGCAAGGAAGGTCGTAAAACGTGGCAAAATTTACTTAATAACCGTCTTGCTTAGCAACAGATGGGATCAATTTTGGTCGTAAGTCGAATATTACCTGTATTTGCTACAATTCGTGTTATAAACTTTACCTTCCTTCTAATAAAAGTCACTATTCAGAAAAGACATGCTCTCTAGATCAGAGTTCCCCAACCTTTCTGGGCTGGTGGCCCAGGGCAGGGGGAGGAGGGAAAGAACAGATGGTTGAATGCATGAGTGCGCATTGTTCACGCGACTGGGGCCGTGAATGCATGAGAACCCATTGTTCACGCGATTGGGGCCGTGAATGTCTGCAACACTTACGGCGACACACAAATGGGCCACAAACACCTGCAACACTCACAGTGACACTCATGGGAGTGGGGCCATGTGCATGCACGCACCAGCCAGCCACTCATGCGGCCCAGTGGCCAATAGGCCGTGGCCCACAGGTTAGGGACCCCTGCTCTAGATAAACTGCTTCTAGTCCACATCACTAGGAGGAAAGGCTGACAATTACTTGCTTCCTGCTACAGACATTCATCCACAGAAATGTGGCCTTTCAAGCATTATCATTTATATTTCCTCCCATAATTTGATTTGGACCCTTAAAACGTTTTTTGTAAGAATGTCTCTAGGCCCCTCAAGGGCACTCACAGAACATTAAAATGTGTTCTGAGCACCATCCATTGCTATGTCTGGAAGGATCCTTACCTATCAAGAAAAAGAAGAGGCAAAGATATGCAGGAGTGGATAAAGCATTGTGACGGTGCATGGAAAAGACCTTGGGAAACATGGAAAAAGGTACAACCAATGGAACAGTTGGAAAAGAGGCAACTTAGCCCACAGAAGGAATGTGGGTGTGGCAAATATCTCAGAAGAGGCCCGCCCTCCTTTCGTAGGTTGTGAAGGTGATGGGGGAGAATTGTATTTTCAGACTTGCAAGATTTTATTAATGTAAATTTATAATAAAGTAGAGTTAGGTCATCTGGGTGTGCCTTCTGTCTGGACTACCTTGCAAGGCTGACAAGCATCATGGAATATTTGCACTCAGGAAGTAGTGGTTGGCAACACAGCTTATGGCAATCTTTTTATGGGGCATTTATGGCATACTTAACATCCCTAATATGCTACCAGCCTTCCAAAGGTTATCTACTCCTCGTTTAGCCTTAGTGGCTTTTCAAACACATCACATTTTACAGAAAATTTCCCAGCAGACAGTAGCACCGTCAGTCTTACTAATCTTAAAAAAAAACTAAGCAGGTTTGCACCTAGTTAGAATTTGGATGGAATGTTTCTGGAGATTCTTAATCATGTTTGCTTTTTCATGAGGCAACTGGACTTTGTTTTTCCTTGAAGATGCTTCACTTCTCATCTAAGAGGTTTCTTCAGTTCTGAAGAACTGAATTGAACTGAACTGAAGAATCTTCTTAGATGAGAAGCGAAACATCTTCAAGGAAAAACAAAGAAAGTCCAGTTGCCTCATGAAAAAGCACCTTGGCTGGAAGAACACTAAAGAATCCAATGGTTGTAGATTGGAAAATAATCATTTTTAAAATCTCATCTTGGCAAACAACCATGGCAAAATACTTCCATATGGTTGAAAACAATATGGAACTGCCCATGTAGTCTCCAGGAATCAAACTCAAGGGAAACTTTGCAAAAATATCCTTGGAGAAGACTAAACTATTTTAGGTAAGTATTCCAAACAACATTAAAAAGAAAAGCCTTTTCTTAGTAACACTTACAATTAGGGCCACAGCTTGGGTTCCTTCTTCTGAGTGATATTTTGAAATCTTTTCTTTCTCACTTTCTAAAGTCCCCATAACACTTAACAAATGGCCCTAGAAGAAAAAAAGATATTGAAATAATCATTGAATACTAGGAGGATATGATCACAAGATAATCACCAAATAGGAGGAGGATATAATCAAAGATTGCAACAGTCTCTGTTCTCTGACTCTTTTTCCTCCATCTCACTTCACCTCCTCTTTAAGTTCTGACTCTAAATGGCGATGGAGATTCTCAGTCATCCAGGTCTTAGTTGTCCCAAAGATGCTTTTTCAAGAAGCAACTGGACTTTTTTTTCCCTTTTTCGTTGAAGACATTTCACTTCTCATCCAAGAAGCTTCTTCAGTTCAGTTCCTCAATCTGAAGAAGCTTCCTGGGTGAGAAGCAAAATGTCTTCAAGGGGGAAAAAAAGAAAGTGCGGTTGCCTCTTGAAAAATCACCTTTGGGTTCTGTCTCTGAAGTTAAATGTTGCACAAGTAGGAAAACCGCAAGCATAAGTTTGTGAAATAAGCCATAGTTGCTTTATTCACAAATCACTGGCACAATGTTTGCAAACACAACATCCTCCCTACTTGTGAAGACCTAAACTCACAAACTGGTCTCTTCCACTCATTTGTAGAATAAATGTGTATGTATTTTGCACAGGAGTGTGATTATCCATTTCCCTCAAAATGGTTGCTGGCATAAAGTGAAAAGAGAGAAAAACCAAGATTGACAATTTTCTGTCTTGGCCTGAAAGCTTCATTTCAGAATTTTTCACGCTGAAGACATTTCATTGCATTAAATTCCATCTCCCATCAAGTCAACCAGCACAGCCAATGCTGGCTGAGGAAGGGTCATGTAAAACTTTTGTGATTCATGGGAGCTTCAATTGTTCACTTCCAACACAAACCATATAGTTGGGAAAAGGTGTTCTATTACTAAGAAATAAATAACATCTAATAAATAAAATGATAACTATTTCAAATCTAGAAGAAACAAACTTACTATTCTGAATTATTATTTCAGAAGTACTTTGAAATTGGTCTATTTTTTCAAATTACACCTTTTTCCCAGTTCAAATTCCCCATTTGATAATCAAATTGATCACATATCTTTTACCTATATATAGATGGTTTCCAATAAACTATCTTTATTTCAAGGAAAAATCAATTGGTCAACAGTGGCCAAAATATGGGTTTAAATCTTAAGCAACATGTACAAATAAATCAGATAGCATTGGCAAACTGCCTGTCTCATTGCTTTCATCTTTTTTTGCAGATTTTCTCCCTGTTCTGCTTTTGTTTTTAAAAAAGGAAAGAAGCAACTATTTTTCCCAATGCCATAGTGCTATAAGTTCCCCCCTTCTGTGTTTGTACACTTTCTGCCCACAGATTCCCACCTTGTACTCTGGAATGTAATGATCTGTGTGAAGGACCTTGGGAGACAGAAGGAAGAGATTCAAGTAGTCCTTGAATTAGCGACGTTCATTTAGTGACCATTCAGAAGTACAATGGCACTGAAAAAATGACATGACCATTTTTCACCCTTAGAATCAGTGCAGAATCATGTGATCAAAATTAAAATATTTGGCAACTGACTCATATTTGTGATGGTTGCGGTGTCACAGGGTCATGTGATCATCTTTTGCAATCTTCTGACAAGCAAAGTCAATGGGGAAGCCAGAGTCACTTAACAACCATGTTACTAACTTAACTGCAGTGATTCACTTAACAACTGTGGCAAGAAAGATCATCAAATGGGGCAAAACTCATTTAACAAATGTTTCACTTAGCAACAGAAATTTTGGGCTCAATGGTGGTCGTAAATCAAGGAATACCTTTACTCTTGGATGCAATGTCATGTGAGAATGACCTTGAGAGACAGAAGGAAGAGATACAATCTAGATAATCATCAAGCAAAAGGAATATCACCCCACAGTATTAAAAAAAAAAGCCATGGGAAGCATTTCAAAAGGAACCATTCCTAATTTTCTGAAAATAAAAGCAAAAGAAAGGAGAAATACTTCCAGACTTGCAAGATTCTATATTCTCACAATAAAGATAGTGTTAATCATCATGGTTTGTCTTTCTTGTCTAGCCTACCTCAAACACCTGACATGGACATCTGTGGAGATTCTTAGTCATCCAGATATGATTGTCCCAAAAGTGCTTTTTTTCAGGAGGCAACTGGACTTTGTTTTTCTTTGAAGATGTTTTGCTTCTCATCCAAGAAGCTTCTTCAGCTCTGACTGGATAGTGGAGGGAATGGAAGGATTTATACTCCTTGCAAACAGCTGGTCATTTGCATTCTTTTATAGAGTTGTTGGGGCCATTTGGAGGTTTACCTGTGTCCTCAGAATTATCTGAGTAGTGCAAATGTGTGTGGAGCCTTCTTGGCTGCAGGATGTTTTTCCGCCCTGTGTCCCTTCATTGTTGCAGACTACAGGAACATTTGTGCTTCAGTTTGAGATTCAGACATCACAGTTTCATCCGCAATAGCCTCCGCCTATCTTCAACAGCAAAGGGACACAGGGCAGAAAACATCCTACAGCCAAGGCTTCACACCTATTCACACTACTCAGGTGATTCTGAGGACACAGATAAACCTCCAAGTGACCTCAACGACTCCTTAAAAGAATGCAAATGACCAGCTGTCTGCAAGGAATATAAATTAGTAGTGGGATTCAAATACCTAAACAACCGATTCTCATATTTGATGCAGGCTGGGCCTCCAATGCATAGAACGGACTTCTGGAAATGGCATCCACACATTTCCAGTGGGTTGTTCTAGGCCTCGGAGGACGACTCCAGGCCTCCAATGCCTAGAACGGACTTCCAGAAGTGGCATCCACACACTTCCGGTGGGCTGTTCTAGGCCTGGGAGGACTCCTCCAGGCCTCCGAGGCCTAGACTGGATTTCTGGAAACCAGCCAGTTCTCCAAATTCAGGTAAATTTAGCTATCGGTTCTCCCGAACCGGTGTGAACCAGCTGAATCCCACCACTGGTATAAATCCTTACACTGCCCGCCATCCAGTCAAAGCCAAAGAAGCTTCTTGGATGAGAAGCGAAACGTCTTCAAAGAAAAACAAGGAAGTCCAGTTGCATCTTGGGAGCTGACATGAACAGCTTGTGCCAAAGGTTCCCACCTTGTACTCTTCAGCAGCCTCAGCCACAGGGACAACGTCATGAGCCAGATGCTCGTGTGATATATCACACATCGAACAGAAGAGGACGAGCTCATCCCTGCAGAAAGCCTTGAGAGCCGGAGGGTGGTCCTTACACACATGGCCCTCTTCTGTGATTTGTTTTATATCAACGCTCAACTCTTCGACCAGTTTTGTAATATTCGCCAGCTGCCCGTTTGGTATAAAGTTCAGCCGAGGAATTTTCTCCTGACACTGAGGGCAAGCAATCTCAAGGGGAAATTGTCCCCAGTAACTCACAATGCAGGCATGGCAGAAATTGTGCCCGCAGGCAAGCGTTGTCGGATTTAAGAAACTCTTGACACAAATGGAACATGTTAGTTCCCGCTGCAGCTTCTTTACAATGTGTTGCAGGTCCATGGCTCTTCCACAGGAACAGGAAAGGCTAATTCAGCTTCTTCACTGGGGTGGCAAAAGGCAATAGCTGAAGGAGTTAATAGCAATATCCTGTCCTCTGGAGCTGCAGAAAAAGAACAGTTCCTGGTACGGAAGAGAAAGGATCTAGGATCAGCATATTACAATCGCCACTGGAAAGCTCATCCCTCATCCCTAGAATATGTGATGTCCCAATCAAAATATATTAGTAACATTTTCAGTGTTTTGATGGAATGCCAACCATTGGCTTCAAAAGAAAGAGAGCCAAGCGTTAGGCCTCTCCCACTGCTAGAATAACCCAACAACCCAAAGCACCTGAAGGCAGAACAAGAAGCAACAAATAGAAACTTAGGAAGAAGAGAAGCAATCAAGAAATAAGGAGGAATTTCTTGACTGTGAGAACAATTAATCAATGGAATGGCTGGCCTCCAGAAGTTGTGGGTGCTCCATCACTGGAGGTTTTTAAGAAGAGACTGGACAACCATTTCTCTGAAATAGTATAGGGCCCCCTGCTTGAGCAGGTGGGTGGACTAGAACAGGGTTTTTCAGCCAGTGGTACGGGTACCACCTGTGGCACATTGGCACCTGGCAGGTGGAATGCGACCATCCTAGAAAAGTGGTAGTGGGGAAGGGGAATGAGCTGAACTGGTGGCAGCACCGCACAAGCCTGAGTGAGAGATGGCTGGAGCTGCAGGGCTGTCAGGGCTCAGCGGAAGCGCCAGGATCAGCACTTCTTCGGGGCTGTCAGGGCTCAGTGGAAGCGCCAGGATCAGCGCTTCTTCGGGGCTGTCAGGGCTCAGTGAAAGCGTCAGGATCAGCGCCAGAGTCCAGCTGGAGCTCAGCGCTGATCCTGGTGCTTCTGCTGAGCCCAGAAAAAGCGCTGATCAGCTGGAATGTTGCAGCCTCTCCAGGGTCTTGTGATTTACATTCAGATGCTTGGCAACTGATTCATATTTATGATGGTCACAGTGTCCCAGGGTCATGTGAAGTGACCAAAACTTGCTGCAACCACCCAGCAGATGAGGGGAATAAAAACCAAACATCCCCCCACCCCACCCCCACTGCCAATCCTCAACAGAAATGCTCACAACAATGAAAACCTCGGGCAGGAGGAAGAGCGCCACCGGGTGGGCAGGTAGGTGTCTTGCTCGGCTGTGGCTTGGGGGGCACTTTTTTCAGTGCCATTGTAACTTCGAACAGTCACTAAGCGAACTGTTGTAAGTCGAGGACTACCTGTACTTTATCACTTTTTTCCTTTTTTTTTTGGTCATCAAGTTTTTGACACCTTGCTAGGCCACTGGTGGTACTCGGATGTTGCCATATCCTAAAAGTGGTACAATGAGTGAAAAGGTTGAAAAGCCCTGGACTAGAAAACCTCTAAGGTCTTTTCCCACTCTGTTATTTTGTTCTATGCTAAATAAGCAGAAAAGTTGCTCTCAGAATCCTTCAGATGTTTTGCTACAAAAGATTATTGTGGTTCCCTTCCTACAATCTCTACATTATCTACACAGCTATATAAATTGGGGAGGAGATAGATCATCAATACCTTGATTCCAGACAGCCACACTTTTCCAAAATGCTGTTTCCTTTTTTTTCATACTTCCCTGTCAATAAGCAACTAGCATTTGCTCTATGACTTTTCAATAAATCAATTTGGAAAATCCCCATTTTGAAAGTTGCCCCTTGTTTATTCCTCCTCCAAAACTTGAAGGTTCACAAGTTTCTGTATGTATGTAAAATTCACTCACATGCATTGAAGGCTTCCATTTATCAACCTCCCTGCCACAAACCCAGAGAAGCTAGTTTATTACTAGCTTGAGTAACAGTATCACATAATTTCAGAAAACAATAGAGTTCACAAAGTTATGTTTTGTTCTCCTTACAGCAAAAATAAGATTTTGTAGTGTCTTAAAGACCAATTATGTGATAGTGTCACTTTTGGGAACCTATTCCATTTCATCAAATCCATGAAGTATTAGTGTGTGTGTGTGTGTGTTACCTTTTAATCAAAATGGTTAGTTAGAAACGATGCTAACTAAATTTACCTCCCCACCACCACACACCTTCCTTTTGGGAGGTGAAATTAGTAATCTGTAAAAATAAGGTCAATTAAACACAGGCACTGCAGTTTGCCTTATCTGTAAACAGCAACCATTCACAAAACACCCAAACATGCCATGCGTATTATTTGATAAAGCAGTCAACCCTTAGTTTTCTCTTCATTTGATCCATGAGTAACACAAATCAAAGTGATTAAAATCTACTAAATCATCTCAGTCCTATTAGGCATCTTTCAGTTGGTATTCCTAAGTAGCATTTAGATTTTTGCAATTCAAGCAGCCACCACCAAGAGGAGTTAAGAATATATTCTCCTTTTGAGCTCAACGTTAATAGGACTGCATCTAGGATTGAGGGTTTTTTGAAAAAAATAATAAAGGCAGGATAAAATAAAATAAAATACAATAAAATAAAGCAAAAACAAAGAAACCAAAACAAAACCAAATTTAATTCAACCAGCTTGGTCTAGAAAGCAGGAGACTCTGAGTTCTAGTCCTGCCTTAGTCATGAAAATCAGCTGGGTGATTTTTCACTCCCTCTCAGCCCAACCCACCTCAGAGGCTTGTTGATGTGGGGAAAATAAGAGGAGGAAGGTGTGTTGGATATATTTTACCATCTCGAGTTATTTGCAAAATAAAGGAGGGGGTACTAATAAATAAACTGTCTCAAATTTTAGGTCTCCCTAGAAATAGCAGAAACGAAGCCCGAACTTTCTCATGCCAGTACAGTTAGTTCCCTTGAAACACAAACTAACATCTCTTCAGCAATAGCAACAGGAATAATTTCTGCAAGCATCTTGGGAGGACATTGATTTAAAGCAGGAGTAGTCAACCTTGGCTCTTTTATGACTCGTGGACTTCAACTCCCAGAATTCCTGAGCCAGCTAAGCTGACTCAGGAATTCTGGGAATTGAAGTCCACGAGTCATAAAAGAGCCAAGGTTGACTACACCTGATTTAATGCATTAATTCCTTAGACTAGAGCTAGAGATACTAAAGGAAACAGAACCAAAACAGAAAGAGTCAAATTGAACACTTCTCGGTTTTTTGTTTTTTTTAAAAAAATAGCTTTTTATGAAGCCACCCAGCTTTATAAATCAGGTTTTCAGATCATCAAAGGGGAGACGCGCGTACAGACAAACATCACAAACCTACAAGGCGGCGCTCTTTCTCCCTACTTTAAAAGTCCTTTTCCCTGCCTTTATAGGAAAAAGAACATTAAACTACCATTCCCGAAAAGCTCTGCTGCGTCTGGCCCCACCCACCTTATCTCGTCCACGCCGAATGGGATTGGGGCTTCAACAAGATAATTGAGCCAAGGACAATTATGATTGGCTGAAATTGGTAGCACGTGCTGAGGAGAGCCTTGCCTTTCTTTTGACAGACGCTCCGCTTCTTTCGGTTTTGCGAAAGTTCGCATGATGGGTGGACGTGATGGCGGGGAGTTTTTGCATGCAGCTTTTGCATACAGTAGATTTTAAAACGTTACAAATAGCGTGGGATGATTCATAAGATAAGTGTAGGTGCTTTTATTTTGCTTCTCTTAAGTAGCGGTTCTGATGGGAAACATAAGAGTATATCTGGATTAGTGCAAGGGAGTAACAGCTTCATTTGCTATCTAGGAAACCTTTACTGCAACTTTGTTCTGAGGAGCAGTGGACAAAAATTTAAAATGAACAATTTAAAAAATGGTAATTGTGTCACTTTCACGAGGCACCCGATTCCCTTTACTCAGTTGGGGATACATTATCCTGAGAACAGAACATATACATAAAAATGTGTGTGATAATTTAGAATGGTTTTCATGTTAAATTGTGTGAATATAAACCTTGGAACTTTTCCATTTTTTTATTTGTGATTTACTGCTTTAGCAACAATTATTAGTGACATTTAATGTTTTTGATTGTAAACCTTTCAACTGGGATTTGCAAGGCAGTATTTTGAAGGGTGGAATATGTAAATATTTAAAATCCTTCAGTCACTTTGTATCTATAGAGTTGAATTGGCCTGAATCAATCCAGTATTGAATGAAGGCCTGTTCATTGAAAGTGTGGACCATAATCCAGCTCATTGATAGTTGACACATTGATAGGGGTTTTTTCTCTCTCAATTATTCAGTCTAGGGCTGAAGAAAAGAACTGGCCCAAAGTCCCCATCCAGTTTCTGTATTTAAGGGAGGACTAAAACCAGGATCTCCCCACTCCTACACCACCATGTTAATATTTCCTTACAATGTCCCAGGCTGCTGCAAAGAAGAGGGGGTCAACCTAGTCTCCAAAGCACCTGAAAGCAAGATAAGGAGCAATGGGTGGAAACTAATCAAGGAGAGAACCAACCAAAAACTAAGGAGAAATTTCCTGACAGAACAATTAATCAGTGGAACAACCTGCCTCCAGAAGTTGTGAATGCTCCAACACTAGAAGTTTTTAAGAAGAGACTGGACAACTATTTATCTGAAATGGTATAGGGTTTCCTGCCTGAGCTGGGGGTTGGACTAGAAGACCTCCAAGGTCCCTTTCAACTCTGTTATTTTGTTATTCCCTTCCCCCCCCCCCACCTTCCATGGTGGGGAGGAGATTAAAAC